TATTAGTAGTAGTAGTAGTAGTAGTAGTAGTAGTAGTAGTAGTAGTAGTAGTAGTAGTAGTAGTAGTAGTAGTATATTTGGATTCCCAAATTGAGCAGGGGGTTGGACTTGGTGACCTTACTGGTCCTTTCATTTCCAATTTTCTATCATTCTGTGACTCTTTTACAGTTTAAGCAAGAAATCAAACCAACAGACCATCGAAATCGCAGAAAGCTACAAAAGATTCTATATTTAGATTGCTTGGTATTTATGTTTCCCTTCCATTCCAATTACAGTGGTGCCTCGCTTGACGACGCTAATTCATTCCAGCAAAATCGCTGTAAAGCAAAGACGTCATGAAGCGAAATTAAAAAACCCATTGAAATGTATTGAAATTCGTCCAGCAAAGATCCTCCATAGGGGCGGCCATTTTCGGTGCCTGTGCAGTGAGGAATCCGTCCCTAAGCACAGCGGGGGGCCATTTTCTTCAGCAGGTGGCCATTTTGAACCCTGACGATCAGCTGTTTTTTATCATCGTAAAGTGAAAATCAGTTCCCAAAGCGGGGAACCGATCATCGCTAAGCAAAATTCCCCCATTCAAACCATCATTTTGCGATTGCAAAAGCGATCGCAAAAAACTCACTGTCAAGCGGATTTGTCGTTAAACGAGGTAATCGTAAAGCAGGACACGACTGTACATTGGAATTACATAATATTGAATTTGTCCTACCATTTGGTTTACTCTGGGAATGGGCAACCACATAATATAAGTGCCAGTATAAACTATCCCATTCCTACAGTGTTCCTACCACACCATTTGGGCTCCCTGTCAAGGTCTACTTTTTGTTATGCTTTGGAAGGACCAGTGTTTTGGTTAGTTCCAGTGGTTATGATGGCTAAGATCGAACTAAAACAGTTGGTTTGCTAACCATTTCCTGAAGCCATCTAATGGACTTCAGAAGCTGGAACTTTGTTGACACTTGTCTTTAGAAGATGAGAGAAAGTATTGAATTTCTTTTTAATTCTTTCTATCACATCAGCAATTCTTTGAAAGGGCTGTTTCACAGGTGCATTGGATTTGTTTGCAACAATTTTTTTTAAAATGCAAAATCTCCCCTCCCTTATTCTCCAATGTGAGACTTGGGAATATTGCCTGTTTAAAAACAAATAACAGAGTTTAATACATAATATAATCCAACACATAATATAATCCAATACATAATATAATCATCATACATAATTTCAGCCTCCCCAATTTCTCCCTAAACAGAAATGTAGCAGAAACAATATTAGTCTTAGAATTGAGGAACATTATTGAAATCTACCTCAGTTTCTGATGGCCAGAATCATGTTTCTGACTTTTTCTTCCCTTGAATTTCAGTTGTCCAAACAGTATGGTCCTGTCTTCAGCCTCCAGATGGGACTCCAGAAGATGGTGGTCCTGACTGGGTATGAGATGGTAAAAGAGGCTCTGGTCAACCAGGCTGATGAATTTGCGGAGAGACCTTTCGTCCCAATCCATGAAGAATTTTCAAATGGCTTGGGTGAAGTCCTTTCTCTTGACAATTGCATTTAATAGCTAGGCCTAAAAGAAGTATTGTAGGCTGACAAATGGTGGTTAAAGATTGGCAGCTGAGGGTATTGGTTGCACTAAGAAATCATGGAAGAGGGTCATAGGAGTTTTAATAAATGTGGGAGGAAAAGAAGCCACAAAAAGGGAACTGAGCAAAGCATTTCCACCATTGGGAGAACTGAGGGAGCTTGTGAAGCAAGAGGCAGGGTAATGATTGTAGGAGTCAGATCTGAGGATTATCCTAAAAATGAGCTGGAGAGACCCTGCAAAGGCACTACAGGTGAAAGGAAGAACAATTTTTAGTTTCACAGGGCATCACAAGGGAAGTAATGGAGGTGATGCTGATTATTTGAATGAACTTCACTCTGGTCTCTGATAATCTGTGCTACTCAAGATATCACCTTACTTATCTATTCTTCTCATTAGAATTGCAGGGTGGGTGGTATTCATTTGGAACTAATTAGAAACTGTCCTTGCCTGTTTTCCTTAAGGTATCATTTTTTCTAATGGTGAGAACTGGAAAGTGATGCGGCGGTTTGCCTTAACCACATTGCGGGACTATGGAATGGGCAAGAGATCCATAGAAGACAAAATTGTTGAGGAGTGCAATGTCCTGGTAAAGAAGTTTGAATCTTACCAAGGTGAGTGGGTTCACATTTGTTTCTGAGGCTCTGTACTATATTACTGTAACAGAACAGAAAAAGAATTTCCACAGTTTTCTCTTTAATTAACGTGCTTACATCTTTAGTGAGTTGACACATTCAAAGAATTACTGTGTCACAGTTTTTTTAAGAATTCAGTATTTCTTAGCTTCAAAAGCTAAAAATATTGAGGAATGGAGTGTTAGATTTATGTCCAGGCATTTAGTAGGAAATTTACTCTCATAAAACATCCCATTCATAGTTTCATTGCATCTATTCTTTAAAATTTTTTTGTACAGGTAAACCTTTTAATGCCATTACAGTCATGAGTGTAGCTATTGCCAATATTATGATGTCCATAGTGTTCGGCAAGCGGTTTGAATATGACGATCCCATCATTCCACGACTACGGAAGTTAATCATTGAAAATGTCCGGCTCCTTGGAAGCCCCTCAATCATGGTAATTGAACTACTTTTCCTTGAAACATATTTCCAGTCTAGACTGGGCAGAGCAATGTGAAAAATCTAGACTGGGCAGAGCAATGTGAAAAAAAGCAGAATTTGAAAGCTACCTTTCAATTTAAATCATGTTAGGAAATATGGACCTTATTGAAAATGTCAAGTAAAAGATTGTGCTGTTGTTAATTTGGGTATTGCAACTTGTCACATCCCACATGTTCTGGGATTGGGACTGCTGTGCTCATATTCAGAAAACCTGGTGTCTCATGTTCACAAGAAGTAAGAGTATGCACCCTGTTTCGACAGCAGTGGTTTTTGGCATCCAGTGTACCACCAGGTTCTATTCTATCCCCCATGCTGCACAATCTTCCACCGTTGCTCAGTAGCTCTCAGAAGGTGCTGGAAGAGATAATTCAGCACATTAGTGTGGGATGTTCACCAATGTGATTCTACTTTCCTTTGTCACTAGCACCAAGGAATGCTACTGGGTCTGGTTGCGGACAAGATGAGGATGAACAAACCAAATTATATCTGAGATTGGAGAAGAAATGCTGCCACCCAGTAGAAAATCTGGTTTAGGATCTGGATGTCATCCTTTTCTGAAAAGAGTTACTTTCCTTCTGACAAATCTGGATCATGGTCTACGAGTATTTCTTGAACCTCTCCTATTCCTGTTTTCCTAGGTTGCAGCAGTTGCAAGAGAGGATTTGCAAATGGATTCCCTTTCCTTTCCTTTAGCACCATAGCTGCAGTCTATCTTCAGCTGACCTGACTGGGCCACAGTCACTCATGCCTTGTTCACATGGCATCATAACTAATACAGTGAGCTCTACATGTGGCTTCTTTGGAAGAGTGCCAAAAGTTTCCATTTCTTTAAAATACAGCAGCTAATGAACCTAACTGCTGCATAATATCAACATCAACTAAACCTGACTGACCTGCCCTGGCTACTGGTTGCTTTCTGGGCCCAGCTTAAAGAAGGAAGCAAGGAAGGAAGCTCCATGTTGTGTTGTGATGTTTCTAGTAGTAAAGAGGTTGAAAGACAAGCCTGGTCTCAGGGTGATCCTTGTGTAATTAAGCTTTGCCTGGTCAAGGAAGCGAGGGAGGAACTGACAGCAGGATTCGCTGATATTCAAAGACAAAGAAACAAATAGATGGGATTTTATTCAAAGACAAAGAAACAAACAGACGTTTCCACTGTTCAATGGAAACAGTGGAAACATACCCATTAGGAATCAGTATCAAATGACACACATGCACAGAGAAAGTGTGTGGATCTGCATTGAATAATAGAGTACTAAGGTCCAGAAGAGCATATTATGCACTTGAGGAAATCAGAGCAAAGCCGAACTAATTGAAAACCTCAGGGGTGTGGGTGTAAAAAAAAAAGCCCAGGAAGTTTGGGTTTTTTAGTTCTGCATTGACTCTGTTGACACCAATGTCAGCTGCACAGTGGGAAACAAATGGTACCATGAGTGTAAGGAAAGTTGGACAAATGCTCAGTGTGGACAAGCTCCATCTCTAAGAAATACTGAGTAAATATAACTAAATAACTTTAAAACATGATTGATCATGCAGTTCTAGAATGTAACGTATGCAAAGTGAAAGTTCTTCAAAATGTTCATATGAGAACAAAATTTTTCAGTGAGTTTTGGAATATGTTAATATTTTCTTTTCTTCCCTTATTTTATACTTTCAGTTATGTAACATGTTTCCTGCCCTTGGCTTCCTTTTTGGTGCTCGTAAGACCCTCCTTAAAAACAGAGATGAGTTGCATGCCTATATATCTTCCACTTCCAGAAATCACCAAAAAGATCTGGATGAAAATGACCAGAGGAGCTTGATTGATACATTTCTCATCCATCAGCAAGAGGTAATGAAATCCTTTAACTTGGTCTGGAACGCATGAGTGCCTTATTTTATCTGGAAAAACTAGCTGCAGTTTTTAAATATTGAATATTGAGTGATCCTCCATATATTAAAGAACCTGCTTTTTTAGGAGCAAGAGTCTGTGTTAGATTCACCTATAGAAATTAAACTTTTCTCAGCTCAAGAAATCATTCTTTTCCTCCAAACTAAAAAGTGAGATAAAATGTTTAAACAAGCAAAACATTTCAACCAGTTCACTATATTGTGTATCAGTGGCACTGGGTCTCGGTAGGGAGAAGATCGTCAGACTGCACAGGGAAGCCATTGAAATCCACAAGCACCAGAAAAACTTCAATAAAAAAGAGGAAAGTTTGAAACTCAACAAAACTTGGCTCCCAGCTCTCAAAAATACAGCATGCAAAAGGTCAAGGGGATCACTACCATCAACCACAGTGACAGACAATCTCCTTATCACAACAATACACAACAAAACACACTAATCACCCATCCACAGAAAACAATACACCCACAACAATACACACTAATAATCCCATCTCACAGCCATAAATACTCCATGCCCCTAGCCAAACTACACAAGAGCACAGTTTGCTGTCCTCTGAAGATGCCGGCCAGAGAGACTGGCGAAACGTTAGGAAAAACCACGTTCAGAACATGGTCAAGAAGCCTGAAAAACCCACAACAACCATTAGATCCCAGCCGTGAAAGCCTTCACGAATACATATATAAAAATCTTTTGTCTACAAAAGGGCTGATGTACTGTAAGCAATATGCCCAGCCATCACAGTGTCAGCTACGACAGCTGAGCTCGAATGGAGCTGAGCTGAGCTGAGAAGCCAGAGGGATAAAAAAGACAATGAAACAGTAGCACAGAAGAAATGCATAGAAATCATGGTTTTTCCTACATATATTTTAACTAGTAATTTTTACATATGTGTTGAAACATGTATTTCTGCCCTTGCTCATTTTTTTTATCACAATGTGCTTTTTAAGGCTCCAAGCTCTTGTATTTTGGGATTGAAATGAGAATTAAGTTCAAGTCTGAAATACAGTGGTGCCCCGCATAGCGACGATAATCCGTTCAGAAAAAATCATCGCTATACAGATTTGTTGCTATGCGGGGCAAAAAAGCCCATAGGAATGCATTGAAACCCCTTCAATGCGTTCCTATGGGCAAAAAACTCACCGTTCTGCGGAAATCCTCCATGCGGCCACCATTTTCGCTGCCCGGTAAGTGAGGAAAGGGCATGAAAACACCACGGGTGGTCTTTTTTTTCCTCTGGTGACCATTTTGGAACCGCCGATCAGCTGTTTTTAAAACATCAGTATGTGACGAATCGCTCGTTATGCAGGGCACCACTGTACTTGAAATATGAAAACTGGTTTATTCTTATTCTTGAAGAGATATGAAGCAAGATTGGAAACTGCATTCCTGGTGATTTAGGAAACAACAAGTAAATGACTTATATATTGATACTCTAATGAATGTTAATGTGATTGTCATGATTATCTGGTTCATGCTGGTATTTAACTGTTTCAGGAAAAATGTTCAGCTATGATGAATGACCAAAGGCTCAAACTATAACACCTCTTGGTAGTTGGAGACAATGGTGATCTATCATAGCTGAACAAAAGTATGACACTGGAGCAAGGCCTCAAAACACTATAAAACCTTACTTGTCCTCTGAGGCCTTGTTCAATTGTCATACTTTTAACCTTGACCTTATGGATTTCTTCCCAGCTATTCACTGTATTTTCTGCCCAGGGATATTTCTGACCTCATTTGGTTTAACCTGTTGTTGTTTGTTCCAGGAAAAGAAGAATAACAGTGGTGGATATTTCCATAAGGAAAATCTTAAAAATACTGTGAGAAATTTAATTTCTGTTGGCATGGAGCCCGTTTCTACCACTCTCCACTGGAGTCTCTTGCTAATGATGAAGTATCCTGAAATCCAGAGTGAGCATTTTTCATTTATTGAGTCCTATTATTCTGGTACACCTTCATATTAGTACTACATAGTAATAATAATCATTATGTGCCATTTAGACAATTCTGAATTATGGCAACCATTTTCAGGATCTTCTAGGTAGAGAGTACTCAGGTTTACCGATTACCTACTCTGGAGGCATCCTTGGACTGTGTAGCTTGCCCAAGGCCACATAGGCTGGCTCCTCTGGAATGCACAGTGGGGACAAACTCCAAAGCTCTGGCTCTATAGCCAGATGTCTAATACATTGAGCTATTCAACCAGCTTAGTTCTACATAGCTTTTGAAAAACTGAAAGAACTACATCACCAGAATAAGGAAGGACAGTTAATGTTGGTGAAAAGACATGTGCTTTCATATCTAGAGATTGTGCACATATTCAGTAAACTTCATTTGTGGTAGTTTTCCACAAGTCACAATTATTGTGAGCAGGGATCCTTTTTCTATATTGAATGAGTCAACATTTAATGATCACTAAAGATACTGTTCTCTGCCTAACAAAATAAAAACCCTCACCCCCCTTTTTTTTGGTTTTTTAAAAATTATTTTCCAAAACAAATACATCAATACAAAACAATACAAAATACTAACTAACAATCTAAAACCCTGTGCACCCCCATACCCACAGGACCCTTTGGAGTAATTCTTTTATTATGAACCTCTTTTGCAAAATTGTATTGATTGTTGCTTAGAGGCTCTCCTCTTTCCTTCCACTAATACAAATTCAATAAATCTACCCCAAATAACATAAAAATATTCAAGCTTATTTCCCCTCTTTTCATCTTTAATTCAGTAGTCAATTTGTCATTTAACGCAATGTCCCATACTTCATTATACTAATCTTCTAATTTGTTATAATTTTTGTCTTTCCAGTATCTAGCTATTAATAATTTAGCACTTGTCATAAAATTAGAAATCAATTCATTTGAGTAATAATCAAGTTGTATCCTATCAAAAATTGACAGCAAAGCAATTTTTGAGTTAAATTCAATATCTTTTCCAAATATATCACATATTTCCTTAAAAATCAATTTCCAAAATTTCTGAATCAATTTACATTCTCACCACATATGATAATACATGCCAATTTCTTCATCACATTTCCAACAAGCCTTAGAATAATCTGTATTTATTATGTTCACTTTCACCGGAATCATGTACCACCTTAAACTAATTTTTAAAAAATTCTCCTTTATTCTTACCAACATTAATCTTAGTACTCTCATCTTCCAAATTTTTATCCAATCTTCTGTTCTAATTTCTGTCTTTAAATCATGTTCCCACATTGATTTTATCCTTCTATTTCAGTCTCATTTTCCTCCAGATCCAAAACTAGGTTATAAATTTTACTTACTACTCCCTTCTTCAAAGCATTCTTCTGCGTGTCTTCATGTAATGATAGAAATTGTTCATACTTAGTACATTATCTACATTTGCCATTAATCCTCAACCATTCATTAGTCCATCTGTCTAATTGGATATAATTGTACCATGTAATTTATTAGTTTGAAGTTTAGCTAAAATCTGATCCTTTGAACTCATTTTAACCATCCAATCCTTCAATCTGGCAACTTTTTTATTCTTAAACAAATCAACAAAGCCCTTCAAGTTTGCTGTGACATTTTCTATTTCAGTCACTAATTATAATGGTGAAGTAAAAGGACAAAACTGCTTTTTATATCTGTTCCACACATTTAACATGTTTCTTAAGAAGGGGTCATTCACCTGATTAATTACATTGAACAAGTATTTTTCAATGTTTCCATGTATTTCTGAAGATTCCATATCCCACCAAATTAATCTTTCTTCGTTATATATAATATCTCCAATAAATCTAAGTTGATTCGCTACATAATAATTTTTTTATATTGGGAATACCTAAACCTCCACTTTCTTTAGTCTTATACCAATATCTTTGATTTATTCTTGATTTTTTTACCTTTATTAAAAAATCCCTTAATTAATCCCTGCCAATACTTAAAATCATTTTCTTTTAATTGTATTGGAAGCATCCTAATTGGAAAAGTTATTCTTGGTAATATTTTCATTTTAACCATAGTGATTCCCCCAAACCATGAAAGATTGAATTTAGAGTACTCCTGGAATTTATCTTTAACATTGCTTTTTAATTTATTAAAAGTTTTCTCCTTTAATTGTTGAGTCACTTTGATTATATTTATACCTAAGTATTTAATATAGCAACACATTTTGAAACCATATTTATTTACAAACTTTTCTTGTTCACATTTGTTGTGATTAAACATCATTACTTGTGTTTTTGCCAATTAATAATTAATCCTGTTATTTCCCCAAATTTTTCTCAATGAATGTCAATTCTATTCATACTTTCTAATGGGTTTTTAATAGTTAATAATGAGTCATCAGCAAATAAATTAATCTTAATTGTATCATTTTTACCTAATTCTTTAATTAAGTCATCACTTATGATTGCATTAGCTAACAATTCCATAATCATACAAAACAATACTGGTAAAAGTTGGTAGCCTTGTCTTGTGCCTTGGCCTAGAAAAATCCATTCTGTTAAACCATCATTAACTATTATTTCTGAAGTATTATCTAAATATAACTGATCTGTAACTCCAATAAACCTTCTATCCTCACTGTTCCTAATTGAGCAGCCATTTCAAGGAACCCAAAATCTTACAATAGGTAGGATATTCTGGCTGTAGGAAGACCTTGTGGAACAAATATTTCCACACCTGCAAGATCATGTCATGCAAGATATTTGCCCTACATGAGGCCCGAATGACAAAGCCTTGTCATTTTGCCTGAGTCTGGCAGTGTGAGAGCACATTCCAGATGAAGAAAATGAGGTGTGTTGGCTACTTATCCCTCTTTTTACCTCTTTTTTAAAAATAATAATAATGAAGCTCAGCACTGGAACTTCTCAGATGAGCTTTTTGCCAGTCAGTGGAAACCAGTTATATTTTGGCCAGGTGAGGAAAAAGAGATAAAAGCCCATGTGACCAAGTTTTCATGAAGGCAGACATTTCTTTTTCTGTCCAATTCTCCTTCACAACTTCATTCCCCTCCGCCTCCTCCTGCCTATCCAGCCGTTTTAGATATTTCCTTTTGCACACCCAGCAAGGAGTTTTGCTGCTGCAGGAATTGGGCTTTATTGAATTTTTTTTACAAATCAAAAAACAGAGGCTGATCACCTCACACCCACACATCACTGTAGGAATCCAACCACCAGAAAGGAGCTGAAATGCAGAAGTTCAGTATTTTATCACTGTCGTGAAATATTTGGAGAGAGCAGTGGTGTGAATGGACTAAAGAGAGGTAATGTATCTATTTAGAAGCAGGATTTCGATCTGTGGGCAAATAAAGTGTTCTGGTTTAGGTGGGCCCATATAAGATTGGAAAATTTCTTATTTTTTCTTCTGCGTGGGAAACACATGTTTCAGCATTTAGTCTTTACACATGCTGATGCAGATCCAAAAGTATACAATTGCTCTTGATTGCAAGGATTGTTTTGTTCCCCCAGAAAAAGTCCAAGCAGAGATTGATGACGTTATTGGAACTGCTCAGCCCAGGACTGAACACAGAACAAAAATGCCGTACACAGATGCTGTGGTCCATGAAGTTCAAAGGTTTGCTGATATCATCCCAAACAATTTGCCGCGTGCAACTACTACAGATGTTACTCTCAAAGGCTACTTTATTCCAAAGGTGATTAGTCTGATTTAGTTGCCCTCCTTTCTTCTAGGTCATGGGCCAGCTTAGTAAGAAATTCCTATCTGTTTTCAATAGACTGACAGTCTAAGAAATGTCCTCTTCAGAAGCTGATGAACATCAGCTCCATGCTGTAAAGCTTGTCTAAATGTTAATTGGGTTGTACATTCTGCCAGGAGATGCTCTAACAATTATTCAGCTCTGCTCTCAGATACAGATAGCAGAGGACACCGGTAAAATCAAGGGAATGTATGATGGTATCAAGCAGGCTTTAGGTCCAATACAGAAGAAATCTGCTCCTTTGAAATCTGCTAGGGGTGTAATCATCCAGGACCGAACACAGCAGATGGAGCACTGGGTGCAGCACTACTCTGAGCTACTGTGGCATCTCTGTTCTCAGTGTTGTAGGAAAGCTGCTTGCCCGTATTGTGCTGAAGAAACTCCAGGTGCTTGCAGACAGAGTCTATCCAGAATCACAGCGTGGATTTCAAGCTCATAGATCCACCAGTGACATGGTATTTTCCCTCAGACAGTTGCAGGAGAAATGTAGGGAACAACAACACCCACTCTTTGTGGCCTTCATAGATCTTACAAAGGCCTTTGATTTGGTTAGCAGGGATGGCCTTTTTAAAATCCTTCCCAAGATTGGATGTCCACCTCGACTCCTTAATATCATTGGGTCTTTTCATGAAGAAATGAAGGACACTGTAATTTTTGGTGGCTCAACATCAGATCCATTTGACCTCCGAAGCAGAGTGAAACAGGGCTGTGTCCTGCACCAACCCTATTTGGGATCTTTTCTGCTGTCATCTGAAGCATGCCTTTGGAACTGCAACAGAAGGTGTCTATCTCCAGACTAGATCAGATGGAAAGCTCTTTAATCTCCCTAGATTGAGAGCAAAGACCAAAGTCCAGCTGAAATGGATACAGGACTTCCTCTTCACCGATGATGCAACTGAAGCATTTTAGCAAAGTCTGCCAAGACTTTGGATTAACAAAACACAAGTCATGGGCCAGGGCGTGGACTCACCTCCCTCTATTACCATCTCTACACAAGAATTGGAGGTTGTTCATGATTTCATGTATCTTGGCTCAACGATCTCTGACAGTCTCTCCCTAGATGTCGAGTGGGATAAACATATTGGCAAAGCAGCTACCATGTTCTCTAGACTCACAAAGAGAGTATAGCTTAATAAGAAGCTGGTGGCATATACCAAGATCCAGGTCTATAGAGCCTGTGTCCTGAGCACATTCCTGTACTGCAGCGAGTCCTGGACCCTTTGTGCATGGCAGGAGTGGAAGCTGAACACCTTCCATATGTGTTGTCTCCAACACATTTTTGGCATCACTTGGCAAGTTTCAAATAGAGTAGTCCTAGAACAAACTGGAATTGTTAGCATGTATACATGATACCATAGTCTCGCGACATTGAAGGATGCCTACATACATACATTACTGAAACAGTAACATCTACGTTGGCTCGGGCATGTTGTGAGAATGGCTGATGGTCGAATTCCCAAAGATCTCCTGTATGAAGAATTAGTGCAGGGAAATCACCCCAAAGGGAGCCCACAGCTGCAATACAAGGATATCTGCAAGCGGGATCTGAAGGCCTTAGGAATGGAGCTCAACGGATGGGAATCTTTGACATCTGAGTGTTCAGCCTGGAGACAGGTGGTGCATCATGGCCTCTCCCATTTTGAAGAGATACTTGTTCAGCAGGCCAAGGCAAAGAGGCAGTCCCAAAAGCAGCAAAATCAGGGAGCTGGACAGGGGACAGATTGTATTTGTCTTCAGTGTGGAAGGGATTGTCACTCTTGAATTGGCCTCCTCAGCCACACCAGATGCTGTTCCAAGCTCTCTATTCAGAGCACGTTACCATAGTCTCTCGAGACTGAAGAATGCCTAATCTAATCTGTACATTCTTTAAACACAGCTTCTTCCTTTGCAGGGCACTTACATCATTCCTTTGCTGACCTCTGTGCTCCATGATGAAACTCAATGGGAGAAACCTTATGAGTTCTATCCTGAGCATTTTCTTGATTCTGCAGGGAAATTTGTCAGAAGAGATGCATTCATGCCTTTCTCTGCAGGTACAGAGTTGTGCAGATATGGAGTGGGCTTCTGCAATGGGAAACATGACTTGTAACAACCACAGGAGATGACCACCCATTCTAGAAAAAAAAACTTGTTCTACAGCCTACAGTGCTCTGTAATACAATGCAAAACCATTCATTGCCCGTCCAACCCAGAAATAGAGAGAAGACACAAGTGATGTGTTTAACTAGGGCCAAAACTTTATTAACTAATTAACTGTTAACATCCCCATACTGTGCAGAGGGGCCCACTCCAGTGTGGATCCCTGGGGGTACTTGCTTGCCCTGCCCTAATGCCATCCCTGCAATTCCTTGCTACTTGTCTGTACTCTTCCTTGGTGGCCTGCCCTTCCTTCCACTTCCTATATGTGTCTTTTTTAGTTTTCAGGTCCTCTCTGAGCTTTTTGTGAAGCCACACCAGCCTTTTTTGCTGTCTCTCTCTCTCTCTCTCTCGTTGGAATGTTTGTAGTTGTGCCTTTATAATTTTCTTTTTTAGAAGCTCCCAACCATCTTGGGCTCCTTTTCTTGTTAGGATCTCCTGACTTGGGGCCTCACCTATCCTTGTTCCGAAGTCATGAAAATTGGCTTCTTAAAAATCCAGCATATATGTGTGGCTACTAGACATGGGGACAAATATGAAAGCGAATCGCGACATTTGTTGACTATCACTGATTTGTCAGATATTCATTGCTTGGTATTCATCAGTCCTGGAAACCCTGATGAATACAAAAGGGTCAATATACCCATTTTTTATTCATCCATTCATAGCAGCTTCCCTCTCTGCCTATGCACCCATGGATCAGCTGTTCCTCGGTGGCATAGGCAGAGAGGGAAACTCAGTTGCTGTTTGCAAAGATGGCAGGGGGCTTCCCTTTGGGCAGCCAAGCTTGCCCTGTCTGACTATGTGCCCATTGATCAGCTGTTCAGTGGGCAATAGACAGACAGGGCAAGCCTGGCAGGTTGCCTGAAGGGAAGTTCCCCCATCACTATTTGCAAAGACCTTAGCCACTTACTCCACCAAGTCATCTCTATTGGTTGGAATCAAGTCAAGGATAACTAGTCCTCTAGTTTCTTTCTGCACTTTTTGTAGGAGAAAATTATCAGCCACACTATCCAGGGATTTCTTGGAAGGGCCATACTTGGTAGAATTTGCCTCCCAACATATATCCGGATAATTGAAATCTCCCATCACTATTACACGTGTCTCTTTGAAATCCTTGCAGTTTGTTTTCCAAATGTTTCATCTGCTTCCTTTCCTTGATTGGCCAGTTGGTAGTAAATGCCAACTGTAAGGTAAACCATTTTCACCAGCTGCAGTTTTTCAATAACACCTTCATTTTTAATGCATCTCTCTGAGGCACCTTTTAAAAGAACTTCCCATTTTTAAGGTAACTCTGCACCCCATAAATTCAGCCACCCAAGCCCCAACAGCCACCCTAAAGGGAAAGCAGTCTAAAAGGTCTCCCTACTGTTGCAAGGGAATGGACACACCAAGCCCAAATGCTCAACCAGCAAGCCACTCAAAACATGAGCCTCTCTATCATTAGCAATGCCACAACCTAGCCACTGAGGCTGAAGGCCTCCACCAGTGCCACTGTTGTCACCAACGTCACCTACCCCAACTCCAGTCACTGCTCATGGAGTCAGCAAGGCCACACCAATACGAGAGGACAGGAGAGCCTTCTGCTTTCTTGCCAGGCCTGCAAAGAAGCCTGTTGGAGAGCGGGAAAGGGATAATAAAGGTCTCCTCCTTGCCCTCATAAGCTTGGACACCCATTAGGTAATTGGGTAGCTTGTCACCCCATCTGGGCAGGGGAGGCAAAGGTTCTCCCCTCCATGCAGTCATTGGTGCACATCTGGAGTGAGGCAACTTTCAATTTTGCAGCAAGTGCATGAGTTTTTATATTTGCAATATTTCTGTAATGCCTCTAATACCATTAGCTATTATTTGATTGGGCCACTTTCAGAAGTTGCCACATGCTTAATTTTGTCATTGTTGTGTTTATGGTAGACTGCTTGGAATAACAGCTGAAAACCTGTTGTCCAGTTATACAAAAGGTGTATTTTTGGAAGCCAAGTGCTGAAGAAAACTTCGAAGGCATTAAAGCAAATCACTGAACTTGGTATGCAACAGAACCTGTATCTGGAGATTTCTTAATTTACAACAATTTACTTTCCTTGTACACCTTGTGTGCAGCTACACAACAGGATTTCAGCCAGTGAGTCATAGAAAAGGCTGTATAAAATGCCAAAATTTTGATAACCCTTGTGTTCTTGTACTCTTGGTATTCTTACAGGTCGTAGAATGTGTGCTGGTGAGACTATGGCCAAAATGGAGCTCCTCCTGTTCTTTACATGCCTCCTGCAAAGATTCACCTTCCAGCTACCACCTGGAATTTCTAAAGAAGACCTGGGCTTCAGCCGAGAAGTTGGGTTATCAACACCTCCCATCCCTTTCAACGTTTGTGCTCTTCCACGCTAAGATCTCTGAAGCTCACAGAATGCTTGAGCTATTCTTGGAATATCTATAAGTATTTCTGCTCACCAAGGTAATTTGAGTGTAGCAGCCTCTTGATTGAATTGACCCATGTTTAATCACAGATCTCAAGTGGCCCTTATGCCATTATTGCTGTTTGAATACCACTCAAAAAACAAAAAGAGAGAAGAAAAAACACTTGAAGGAATTGTTCCATGCTATTATACTACCTTTATGCAGTCCTACTGAATCACTTAGTCAGTTCTTCCTTCATGGCATGTTTTGGTGTGGGAATCAGATAACAATGTAAACATATATAATACAAAGAGTGGAGACGGGGCAACCACAAATAGTGCCTTTCACCCACTTGGAGCAGTATGTTAAGTACAGAAGCACCACCCAAAGAATTGTGTGTTTTTTGTTTGCTTGCTTGTTTTGTTGTTGTTTTGGAAGAAAGCTTAGAATGAGCTAGGAAAGTTGGGACCATCTTTCAAGAGAAGAGAAAATGTTTATTAATCAAGATAGGGATTTTGGCACAGCATTAGGTTGGTTTCTTTCACAGGGCTGGACACAGTGCAACCCATTCATTCATCAACCCTGCTAGAGAATCACTTTGCAGAATTAACCCCATTCGCTCAGTTGCTCCAATATTATTGATGGCAGCCACTTTCTGTTTCCCTCATACTGCCCTTCAATGGTACTGCATTTTGGGCATTATGGAGGATGCAAAATAGCTACCAGTCTACCAGCACCTACAACTATGCTGTTCTCTAGCATGGGAATTCCACCAGTAACCACAACTTGATTAGTTTTTATCAAAACTTTCAGGCATTGTAAACCCATCTGAGTACACAAAACTTGTTATTTCCTCCCATTCAAAATCAAAAAATAAAAAGCTACAGAGATTTGGAAATCCACAGATCAAGTCATGGACCCAGGGACAAGTCATTTTTATTAATGACTGGGATGAGGGGTACAGGGAATGTTTATCAGATTTGTGGCTGATGCAAAATTGTGTGGAATTGCTAATAACCTGGAAGAAGGAAACAAAACTCGACAATATCTTGAGAGGCTTGAGCACGGCGCTGAAAACAATAGCATGAAATTAAACAGGAATAAATGCAAATTTCTACATCTAGAAGGGAAAAATGAAAAGAGCAGTTACAAGATAAGGGATACTTGGCTCAGTAATACTAAAAGTGAGATGGATCTTGGAATTGTCCTAGATCACGAGCTGAATTATGAGCTAGTCTGATGTGGCTGCAAAAAAAAGCAAGTGCTCTTTTAGGCTGCATTAACAGAAGTAGTTTCCAAATCCCATGAGAAACTATTTCCCCTCTATCCGGCATTGGTTAGATATAGTCTCCAAATACTGTGAAGTAATGTTTTCCCTCTATTTAGCACTGGTTAGGCCTCAACTTAAGTATTGTGTCCAGTACTGGACACTACACTTTAAGAAGGATGCCCGAAAAACTGGAACAAGTTCAGAGGAGGGTCACAAGAATGATCAAAGGACTGGAAACCAATCCTTACGAGGAAAGAACTGGGCATGTTTATCCTTCAGAGAAGAAGAATATAGTTGAACATCAGGAAAAACATCCTGTTAGAATCATATAAAAATGGAATCAATAATCTAGGGAGGTGGTGAGCACTCCAACAATGGAGGTATTCAAGAGAAAATTAAACAACCATCTGTCAAATATACTTTGATTTGAATACCTGCATTGAGCAGGAGGTTGGAATTGATTCTTATAGACCCCTCCCAATGCCATCATTCTATGATTCTATGGTTTTATAGTAAATCTGCTCAAATGTCTCAAATGTATCCAGAGCAGATTGGCCCTGATGTGTAGCCATTTTTTGCTGATGTAGAGCAAGTCAGGAGCTTTACACACCACCAGTAGAAGCATCTCATACTGGCTGATACACAACAGTCAATATAAAATAATAAAGAAATTGTGCAGAATGTGAACATCCAAAACACATCTGGTATCTAGAATCCCTTTGATTTTTTATGACTGCAGGAACAAAAACACAAGCAGCACCAAATTCAAGTTAATTAGCAAGCTCCCAATCACAAGCAGTACTTTGTTAATTAGCTTCTATTACCCTCCAGAATTTGTGTTTCGGTTTATGGACATGAGTTTTGTGTTGTTTTTTTAAAAAGAGACTCCGAATGCACATGATTTATAATTGTCTTTAGGAGAGAAATGAAATCGACAAATTACAAACTTCATAGCGATTGTTAAAAACCTCATTACAACTGTTCAAAATACAAACCTGACATCAAGTGAGCAAATAATACATTTTGTTTTGAATATAAGCTAAATTGACAATGTATTAATGTTTATTTTACTGCTAACAAGTAAAACTCATTGCTGTCTTCCAGTTAATGCAAACAAACCCATTGCTAAACTGGCAACAAATTGTTGCTGGGCTATATAACCAGAGAATTTCTCATGCTAGTGAATGAGCAAGTGACATGATAAAAGAGAAGGCTTAATGTAAATTACAGGAATCTGTGATGGGGTGAGAACTGAGTTGAATTGAATATCATTAATAGAACCAAAACAGCACTAAACACAACATGATTAGCATAGTCATAGTGATTTAAAGCTAAATTGCTATGCCTATGCTAATCATGTTATGCTTAGTTCTATTATGATGTTATTACTGATATTTTTAAAACATATCTTTTCATGTGACTTACTGAGAGTTAAGGTTATTTTTCTACATGCTGTTTGTGTAACAATTCAAATATTTTGCAATAATTTTCTGATGCATCATATGCACTTTGGACTCATTTTGTATTCCTAACATGATTTATAATGTTTAGAAATTTTAAACAAGTATTATTATATATATTGAATATAAATTGTCTCTCTGCTTCATGAAGTTATACCCCATGCCACTATATATTTTGTATAAGCTCACTATATTCCAATATATTCATTTTTAGATGGTCAGGTTATTCAGTTTATTGATTTTTGCTCATGAGATTTATTTTGCAATTTTAAATATGTGTGCATAGCTTGCTTGCCTGCTAAAATAAAACAGAAAAGTAGATGAAGTTTGAATAATTATTTCACAAGATCAGGTATATGTGCAGTGGAAAATATAAGATATCCATAAATAAAGACACAAATATATTAAGGAACAGATACTGTAAATCCCTTGACTACACAATGAACCTAGAATATTATTAACAGCTGTAAACAAATATATGCTTCTGTGATTTGCCTTGCAATTTTTCTTTTAAATTGGCTTGTTAGGTTCTTCTTCTGTAGAAAAAAATATATTCCTAAATAATTGTTTGTCTACAATGTGCAGGCATAAAGCAGGCTCTGTTTCAACTGAATTAATACCCTGAGGAGGAAAATAAACAATATACTAATCTTCCATCAGTATGAAAATATAAACTTCAAAATATTCATTAAAATATACCAAAGTATGTGAAAGTGAACTACATTACTTGTACAAAGAAACATATTGGCAGAAATCCAGTTGCAGAATCATGATAAATGAGTAACTTTTAGCAGTGAATTGCTGTCTTATAAGAAGACTCATTAGGCCTACAGATTTATTAATTTGTAGCAATTCACTGATCAAAATTACCATTATTGCATAGCTGTGCAACAGGATTTCAGCCATTGTAAATTCAAGAAATGAACTCACAAACCATGTCCCGAAACCTTGTCCAGAAGAATGTGTCAGTATGGGATATTTCAACATGGAACATTTAGACCAAGGATGTCCAACCTTTCACCTTCCCTGGGCCACATTAGAAGATGAAAATTTGTTTTGGGCCGCACATACATTTGGTTTGGGCCGCATGGGGGGGGGCAGCCCTAGCCGTCCTCCGCACTCCACTCCAAGCGCCCTTACCGGCAGCTGCGATCTCAGACAGCAGAGGCTGCCAGCTTCTACTCCGGCGGCTTCATGGGGCCGGGAGGGGGTCCACCTATTGACGGGGATGGCACAATGCAGCCACGCACCCCCCCGTCCCCTCCCCTCCCACTCCTTCCTTCCCTCTCTCCCCCTCTAATGTTGTGACATGCCACGGCCACATTCCGGCCGCAAGCGCTGGCAGTGTAACTTGAAACTTTGGAATTTCTTTAAAATAAAAAATTGCACTGGGCCGCATTACGAGCTGACCTGGGCCGCATGCGGCCCTTGGGCTGCAGGTTGGACAAGCCTGATTTAGACAGTGATACTGTAGTTTTCTAAACCCCTTCATGGATTGCTGTCTTGTCATAGCAAAGGGGATTGAGTAATTCAGAGGGGACACCCTCTGGAGAGTTCTGACTAAACGCAATCCACCTGCAGTGGGAATTGGCAAGCTACTCCAGTATATTTGCCAAGAATGCCCCATGATCAGAAACAAAAAGCTAAAAGATAGGACGCTGGAAGATGGGCCCCTCAGGTTGGAAGGCATCCAACATGTTACTGAGGAAGACCGGAGAACAAGTACAAGTAGCTCCAAAGCTAATGAAGTGGTTGGGCCAAAGCCGAAAGGACGCTCAGCTGTGGACATGCCTGGAAGTGAAAGGAAAGTCCGATGCTGCAAAGAAAAATACTGCATAGGAACCTGGACCCAATTCTGGGAGGCAGTGGAAGATAGGAGGGCCTGGGGTGCTCTGGTCCATGGGGTCACGAAGAGTCGGACACGACTAAACAACTAAACACGTTTTCTAAATGCCGAACAAATTCTCAGTCCCCGTTTTAATGAGACTCTTTGAATATCATATATATTTGTCCACTATTCCTTTGTTCTCTTCCATTGGGTTTTTCTCCTTGCACAGAAGTATTTTTCAAATCCTTTTATTATTATTATTATTATTATTATTATTATTATTATTATTATTATTATTATTATTATTATTATTATTATTATTATTATTATTATTATTATTATTATTATTATTATTATCTCTCATTAAT